ATTTGAAAAACAGAGACTCCACGCATTTCGAATCGAAACTGGAATGGGAAATTCGTTATTGCCCTTATTATATCTAAAAATGCCATTCTCAAGTCGAGAAAATACTACGCAAAAAAGGACACAAATATGCAAAATTGCGATTTTGGAGCACGCCGTATAGCGTTCAATTTTGCTAGTTGGTTAAGCCACAAATGGAAATATTTTTAATTAGTGCGTTTAGTGAATTTACGAACCGGTGCACAGCGCTCAAAACAAATATCCACCGAACACAGAATTCGAACACGACGTGAACCATCAAATCGAAATACTTTGATTTTTGTGGTTAAGCCACCATCGAATGGAAGGATAGGATAGTGCATTAAAAGACGGCTTACTTTGTTGCTTACACATCTGGAAACACGATTACTGTGGAGCAGCGACATTTTTGGAAAAACCTTTCCAAAGATCCCAAAGGAAATCGACAGGACTGGAAGTTTAGATAAATCGAAGGAAAAAAACTAATACTTAATAAAGTGATTTTTGGGGTGGTAGTAAGCAGAAGCAGATGGACCAATGGTAAGTAAGAGTGAGTAGTAAACGGCAGGCTTTTTATTGTGTATGAAAATTATATAAACATTATATAGCAAGGTAAAGAAGAAAAAGAAGTAACTGGAAAGAGATGTTTTGACATTATTCTCAAAATTTAGACAGTAGTAGGTCGATGTGTATAATATAGTAACAAATTACTTTGGAAATAGGACTAGTTTTCAATGATATTGAGCTGTAATACACAAAAAAGGAAAAGAAATTTTGTAGACTGGCGTTAGTTCTACAAATACCGAAATGACTACATTCAGCGCTCAGTGGACATCATCAGTAAAACTGATCGTTCAGCATCGCTACTCCTGCTCGCTCACTATGCTTCCAATAAGCTACGACGAATTCGCCTAGCCAGTTACACGATATTGTCACGCGGACCACCACCGACATCTATTTGAGGTCGTGCAGCTAGACAAAATCCAAAAGATACAAATAAGAGCGAGTTGCGTGCGTGATTAGCCTGTGAAAACAAATTTTACCCATTAGCAATAAGTGTAAGAGGAGGAGGAAGCGGTGCCGATCCATCCATTCGTTCTGCAATGCAGCGATTCAAAAAAAGTCCAACATTTGAGATTTTGTCCTGTACCAGAATCCACCTCATTTCCAGTTCTTCGCCCATTGCAACAGTACTGACAGGTTGTCCATCTCGAAGTATCACCAGTCGTACGTATTCACTGGTAGACGAAGCCGATGACCAGTCCAATGAATGCGATGATGCTTCTTCCACGTATCTATGCATGGATCTAATGATTAACTGCAGTGTTTAGTGGATTATTTCTACAACAAGGCAACATTAAATGAGCGCTGATAAAGTGAACATGAACATATACGTGATAAATGAAAGCAAGTGAATTTCACTTTTTTTGAATACCGCGGCAAAAAAAAAAGATTTTATTGGAAAATGGTATACACTGCATTGTGCTCAGAAGTAGCTTCAAAATGAGCGTTGGAATAATCGCAAGAAATGTTGAATACCCGATCCGCGTCAGTCATCAGCGCTGGAACACCCAAACCATTTTTTTGGACAACCACTTCAAAAGACCACATCGAAGGATTCTGAAAGA